AAGGCAGGCACTGAATAGGAGTACATCCCTCTGATAACATCCCCAAGAATACTGTCTTCCTGCTCACAGATTACCCCGCATACTCTTATGCTTAAATGGTATCATCATACTCTAAAAGCCCTGATTAGTCTCCAGGAGCTGCTGGAGGCGTAGCTAGGGTTGTGTTGGGTGAAGTGGACGGATGGTCAGTATGGGATCATAAGTAGTGATGATGATGTCATTCTTTCCCTTCTCATTTTTGTCTTCCTTTCCCACTCACTCCACCATTACATTTTCTTTACTCTCTCCTTCTCCCCAAAATTCTGGGTGGCTGCCCAATGACCATTCCTGCAAACAGTGGCCAGGTGATCTCTTGGTCTTGCAGTAATGCTACCCTGAAAAGATTTCCTTGAGGAGCAGTTCTTCCTGTTCCTTGAGTTGCTTTCACAAGCAGGGAGACCTCATAGTCAAGCTCAAAATACGCTTTCCAGATTAAATTTCCCACGTGCAGCAGATTCTTCAGCCGGAAGAATCTGCTGGATTCTGACCCTAGCCAGACCAGTGTCCACAGTTGTAAAGCCTATCTATCTATACACACCCCATTCAATGACCACCTACCTGTGAGTTACTCTGGAATCAGGGACATTTTCTAAACGAAAGTAAGACCATCTGCAAGAAAATATTCATATCCCTCGGCCTTTTCAGAGCTGCAAATTCTGTCTTCCCTACTGCTCCAGTAAGGGTAGAGGAAAGGTAAAGGGTGAACTGCGACTTATTTTCATTAGGGTCAGGTAAGGAGTGGGAGATGTGGCCCATCACCACAAAATTCATGAAGGATGAGAGGGTTCTTCATTGCAGGACATTTATTCCTCACCAAGAGATCTAAGAGGAAGATTTCTGTCTACCACTAACCTCAAGGCCTAAACACTCTCCAAAACTTTTTGAGGCAAGAAGAGTCAATTCTGGCTATATTATGCTAGAGTAATTCATCCCACCCTATAGCTGTATATGGTTCAGGATAGTTTGAGAGCAGATGAAAAGATAGTTTAAGCCGAGTTCTAGACTTTTAGATATCTTCTCACTTTGCAAAAGCCTGAAAATTTCTAGAGTAAATTTTTGTACTTTTTATAAAAATAATTAAGTTTTTTAGGTAGAGGATATCTGAGCAGGATCAAATAAAGGACTCCAGGATAAAACTGAGAAGACCACTGTCAGGCTCCCTGCAAGGAAGCCTCTTAGACACCAAGAGAGGAAATCAGGATGAGCTGAACTACTCCTTCCATTTCCCACATATAAGTACCAGAATAACTAAAACCCATGCCCCCAGTGCAGTACACAGAGAGCATTAGTGTTTCTCTATTAGAAGAAACATTTATTGAGGAAGATCAATATTCTTGATTTACTAAAGGAAGGTTGTTTTCATCTGAGAATGTGTTATCATGAAAACTGCAAGGTTTTCTCAGTGACTGAAAGAGTTCTTTGGAGAAATTTCTTCTCCCTGGAAATGCTGGAGAAGTGATTTCTGTTTGAATAGAAGAGTCAGATCTCTGAACACAGTGTCTTCTTCTGGAGTGAGGGAGGCTGGAGGTATCTGGCATTCTTGATGCACACAGGTGGGGCTTGGATGGCTTACCAACTCCCTGGAGGACAGGGAAGAGGGTTGATTCTGACACAATACTTGATCCTCAAAGGCCACATCTTTCTGGGGATGTCTGACCCCATCTCTGTTCTGTCTGACACTTGTAAGACAACTCTGATCAGCATAAGCAGCTTCTTGGTTTGAGGACTTGGGACTTACCCATTCCTCTTGCCGTAAGTCAGGGAGAGCAACATAGTTGGAGGGATGTCCCTTACCACACTCTACCTGGGTCTGTAGTTCCTTCTTGTGCTGACTTAATCCCAAAGTCTCAGATTCAAACCTACATTCCAGCTTCTCTTCTAGGATCTTCCCAATGGCTCTCATGAGCTCATGAGCTTCCAGGGGCCCATGACTCACAAAGAGAGCTGCACTTTCAATTGAGTCTTGGTGCTGTGCAAAGGTTGACATGAATTTGACTTTTTGTTGGGGACTTTCCTGGTCTTTGATTTTTCTCATGAAATCAATCCACTGAAAAAATCGCCTCATCTTTTTTCTGAAGTAACTTTCAGGAGGAAGCTGCTCATTCTGTGACAGAGATGAGGAAATGTCCTTTAATTCTCTTTCCTCAACAAGGTGGCTCTTCCTTCTGTCTGTAGACATCCCTGCTCCTGAATCTTCACTTCTGTATTCTCCTGCTTTGGAGCCCAAAGGCACTCTCTCTGCAGCAGGTGGGAAGTTATTATCCTGGCACTTCGATGGTGCATGCTTAGAGGGATCCTGCCTCTGCTCCATGCTGGTCCCACTGTCCTCCGAGTGGATGTGTAGCACCTGGGAAGCTGCCATGTCCCCAGTGGAGACACTCTGGGCAAGAGTCAGTGAAGACTTGGAAGGCAACCTACTTGAAGTCAGGGGCATGTCTGTGGGACAGTGGTCAGCCTGGCTATGCTCCTTATTCTTGAATTTAAACTTTAACTCAGTAAGGATCTGTTTTTGAAAGTCTGATATTTCAGAATCTCGGGGAGCAGATATTTTTGGTGAGGGACATTGAGTAGTCAGGGTAGTTTCTACTTTATTCATTTTGACCTTTGTCATTTGGGAACTTCTCAATTTGCTGGTTGTCAAGATGTTACAGGATTGTGATTCAAGAGCCTGAAGCTCCTTGGCCCTGAAAATCTCCCTGGACACACTGAACATTGTAGAATGTTCTGAATTCTTCCTCACTGTCTTTTGGCCCTGAATCATTTCTACTCTATTACTGAAGTTCCCAGTCTCATCCCTTGGCTCAGGTCTGTACCCAGCTTGCCTTACGGGCACCCCTGGGCTGCATCTGTTGTCCAAGAGAGTCTCATTCTGACTGACTTTGTCTTTGTTTCTGTGTGTGACGGGCTGAAAAGTCTGTCTGCCACACTCAATTGTCTGAATGCCCTCTGCAAGCTTTTGGTAGGTAGCAGAGTGTGATGGTTGTGGGGCCCTCTGTCCTTCTTGGCCCACAGATGAGATAACAGGGAAAGGATGATCCAGCATTGGGGTTGAATTTGTGGCTCTCACCTTATTTCCCTGAGAAGTTTTAGATCTTTCTTCAAGGGGCTTGGAAAGCTCATCTTTGGAGTCTACCCCAGAAATATGGGTGGTTGAGGAGGGAAAGTCAAATTGAGGAAGAGGCCATGTTGTGGCTTCTCTCAACATATAGAATTTTATGGATTCAACAACCTTGAGGGGTAGGCCCCATCTCTGAGTCACACGAAACCTTAAAATATGGGCTTCTAGCACCTTTAAAGTATTGTGATCAAGAAAAGAAAGCTCTGGAGTGCTAATCTGGTGGCATACTTTACCTACAGTTGTGTTTTTTGAATGTGGGTCTTCCACATTGGTTTGGGAGCTTACAGAAGGAAGCAAAGTATTATCATCAGCCAGCCATGAACGACACACACCTGTAGGAATCCTACCCGCACTAATCTGCCAAGATTTCGTGCTCACATGTAATCTAAGAATGGTTTTTATTTGATTCCGATCTGTGTCCTTTCTTGAGACATTTAATAATTCATTCCTTGAGTGATTCCTTGAGTGACCCACACAGTTAGTTTTTGTCTCCAAGGCAGCCCTCAGACCCTGCACTAGGTAACATTCTGAGACATCTTGTGGGCTGTCTTCTGGGCTCTTCTCAAGGATATAGCCAAGATTCTTCCTCATGTCATCCCTTAGCTGAAACTTTGTTGAGACCCTCTCTTGGAAATTTCCTGGGAGACCCAATTCAGTCTTCTCTATATTGTTGCTACCCTGGCCCTGAAGCTCGGAGAGTTGTAACTGAACATGCCTGCCTCTCTGCTGAGGTACTTCTGCTAATTTGTATTGAGGCCCCATCAGTGCTAGAGACTCTAGATTCCTGCAGGCTTGGAGGTACCAGTGTGGAATTAGCCTCCTTGGAACGTGGAGCTCCAGTTTCTTCTGGGGTTCGCTGGTGATATGAAAATGGCCAGGAAGGATGGAGACTGGGACATAGGCATGGGATGGCTGATTGACCAATGGGACGTTATGAGCTTGAGAACAAGTGGCTTCTTGAGATTTTTGGAGCACAGGAACTAAACCCCACAAACTTTCCTGTTGCTTCTGTAACACATGCCACTCCAGATGTTGATTTTCAGTCACAGTATGAAAGTCGGACTCATTCTGGAATCTGTGGAAAGACACTCCACAGTCCCTAATCTGGGATGGAGAAGAAGATGATAGGATTGGGAGTTGGGATTGAAGGTGGGCCTGGGGCTGGACCTGAGTGAAAGGTAGAGACTGGGATTGTGGCTTAGTTTGAGACGAGGGTTGTGGTGGATATCCATGGGGAAGGAGACGGAGACGGGAATGAAGAAGTGGTGGAGATTCTTGACCCTGCGTTTTGACTGCAGAAGCATTACAGATTCCATTGAATAAGACAAAGTGAGACTCTAGAGGGGAGCTCCTGCTAGAAACCAGAAGAGTAGCCACTAGGGACTCACTGTGCAAAGAGGGAAGACCCCAGAAGAGCTGATATTTCTGCTGCAAGTTTCCCCCCAAAGTCGTGACATATAAGAGCTGCTGGCAAATGTGGAGCTTCTCTGGTTTGCTTTCACTGTTCCAGCCAGTTTGGGGGGCTGTAGTTTTCTGCACATCAAGTGACTGCAACAAACTCCCTGAAGATGTCCGTTGGTATTCTGACCACATTTGTTTTAAAAATGGTCCCTCCTCCTTTTCTTTCTTCTCTAAACTCTGGAAAGCCATTCTGTTTTTTATTTGTCTCTCCAAGAGTCCACGGATGTTAAAGCCAGAGAAAGAATGGCTATTGGCCTCCTTGTGCTTGGTAACAGAGTCTCCCCAGAGATAAGTGTCTTGTGGATGGAGAGAAACATGCTCTCGCTGAAAATCAGAGTGTGGTAATGCTGGGAGGAGCATGTTCATGGCCTGAGTTTGCCACAAAGTCAAGTCTGAAACTGACAGGCTTGACTGTTCAGTGCCTCTGATTGTTGAAACACAAGTGGACAACTCACTAGGGCTATCTGGAGATGACTTCTCCAGAACAGGCTTTAGTAAAGTGGAAATTGATTTAGGTTGAGTCACAGATAAAGTGCAGTCTGGCTGTGGTGAAACAAATAGGGTCAGTGGTGCACGAGGACAAGCAAAAGAATCAGTGGGATTCATTGCCTGGGACAAATCTGATAAGGGCTTGATATCTTGGGAAAGGGTGGGGTCAAGAGAGGAAATGGTATCCAGAAACAATGTGGCCTCTGGTGGGACAACAGGGTCTGCTGTCTGAGTGTCATGTGGTAGGAGGTGGGGGAAAGCAAAGGTTTGGGGTGGGGAATAATCCACTGGGAATTTGGAATCCAAGGAAGAAAAAGGCTCTGAGGCCAGAGAGTGGCCCATTGGTGAGGGTAAAAAAAAGTCAGTTAAGGGGGTCGTTGGGCTAGGAGAGAGAATAGAGGTGGGCAGCGAGGGAGGCTCCGGCAGAGAGGCTGGTGGTAGGTTTCCTGGAGGAGCTGCTGAGAAGGCCTGGGACAGAGTAAACGATGACTCAGTCACAGGAGCTGTGGAAGCCAAAGGAGACACAGAGGAAGTAGCGTCTTCTAGGGCCTCCGGGAACAGCAGCCGATTGACCTCAGCAGTTGCGTTATTACACACCTCACAGAAGGGGTCTGGACATAACAGCTGACGAAAGCAGGTGGTATCATCATGCCGGCCCAGGGGCCTGCAGGAGATAGGAAGTACAAAACTACAGCCAGGACCAGGAGAAAACATGAGGCCCTGGTACCTCTGGCAAAAGTATGGCTGCCCAATGTATAGTATCTTTTCACATTCTTCTACTTCCTTAATCTCACAGTGTATCTCTTAATCCCTCTCCCCAAGGCTTTCACATTCTGAATCTGAGGATTTTCCCTCCCATGTCAATCCCAGGCTTCACTGAGGCCCTAGAAATTCAAAGACTCCAATAAAAAAGCGGGATATAGGAAAGAAGGTAATGTTTAGTCACCTTTGCAGAAGATAAAGCTCCTTTCTTGCCTCCTCTGCTTCGCTCTGGCAAGTTCTCCAACCTGGGAAACCAGGAGAGTGATGAAGGTAGGAACAAAGAGGACTTATAGGAGGCTAAGTAGAATGTCCTTTAGTGGTACCCTTGGTGGATTGGAGAGTCTCAAGAACTAGAATATAAGATCACATGGTCGGTGATAATAATAGCAAGGCTCAAATATATATGTTGCCTTATCATTCACAAAGGGCTTTCATATGTATTCTCCCATGTGATATTCAGAACTGCCCTTTGAGGAATATAGGTCAATGGTTATTTACCTCAAAGAGGAATAGGATCATCCAGGAAGTCAGAGGACTTATGCAAAGTCAGGACACAGAAGTTCTGACTCTTGACATCTCACATGGCCACCTGTGGGGAAACACCCATTGCCCAGGTCCATCACGGCTTCATGCCAAGCCATGAGAAAATCAGGGAATCTGAGAAGTGTCTCAGGCTTGGACTGCCTCCCCATGAGCCTGTCCCCAGATACCTCTGGTTTCTGAGAGAAACGGTATCTAGCCACTGACATCATCAGAGATCAGGGACCTGGGATCTCATGGAAAAGGCAGGAAGGGCCACCCTTGGAGAGATCCGCTGAAACAGGCAGAACCTTACCTGCCAGTGTGCTGCCTTTCCTTCTCCTCCTGGTTCTGCCCTGATGCTGAGAACAGAAAGAAAAGAATGAAGGGCTGGGCCTCATTTCTCTCAGTCTCTCTAGGAAACTCAGATATTCATTATCCAGGAATAATATGACTCTACTTAATAGACTTTTATGTTCTTTTGATCAATTTTAAAGGTTTAAAATGTTTTCAATTTTTTCTTCTTAAAAAAATAAGTGACTTTGAATGTATAGCAATAGAAACTTTCCAAATTGAAATGCAAAGAGAAAAAAATTTAGTATTTAAACCCAGAATATCCAAGAACTGTGAGACAGTTTCAAAATGTATGGTATATCAATACATGCAATTGAAATATTAAAATGAAAAGAAAGAGAGAACAGAACAGAAGAAACATTTGAAGAAGTAACAGCCCAAGATTTTCCAAAATTAATGATAGACTAACCATAGATTGTGGAAGCCCAGAGAACACCAAGCAGCATAAATACTAAGAAAGTCTAAACCTGGACATATTTTATTAAAACTGTAGGAACCTGAAAGATAAAATCTTGAGAGAAAACAGAAGAAAATAATGCCGTACCTCTAGAGGAACAAGGATGAGAATTATGGGCTTCTCATCATAAACCAGAACTTCCCTGATAGCTCAGTTGGTAAAGAATCCACCTGCAATGCAGGAGACCCCGGTTTGATTCCTGGGTCGGAAAGATCTGCTGGAGAAAGACTATGCTACCCACTCCAGTATTCTTGGGCTTTTCTTGTGGCTCTGCTGGTAAAGAATCCACCTGCAATGCAGGAGACCTGGGTTTGATCCCTGGGTTGGGAAGATCCCCTGGAGAAGGGAAAGGCTACCCACTCCAGTATTCTGGCCTGGAGAATCCCATGGACTATATAGTCCATGGGTCACAAAGAGTTGGACACAAAGAGTTGACTGAGTGACTTTCACTTTTGATCATAAACCATGCAAGCAAAAAGAAAATTAACTGAAATATTTAAAGTGTTGAAAGAAAAAAATCACTCCAGAACTTTTTATCTAGTGGAAATTATCCTTCAAAAGTAAAGGAGAAATAAACACTGTCTAAAGACAAACAAAAACTGAGATAGTCAGCAACAGCAGATCTTCCCTGGAATAAATGTTAAAAGAAGTTCTATAGAAAGAAGAAAAATAACATCTCAAGTCTTCATAAAAAAAGAGAGGGAAAGGAATCAATGATAGTAAAAGAAAAAAACAAAACACTTTCCTTTTTCTTATTCTCAATTGACCTAATGATACTACTGATAATGTATTGAGTGATCATAGTATATGGATAGGTGAAATAAAGGACATCAGTGTTACAAGGGATAGGAGGGAAGAATTGGGAACTCTGTTATAACAGAACCTGTGCTACTTATGAAGTGGTATAGTGTTTATATGAAAGTAGATTTGAGTTGTCAATGTATTAGTTGTCAATACATTAGTTGTTAATGTATTGAATATATTGCAAATTCTATGGCAACTACTAAAATTTTTTTATAGAATACTTGATATGCTAAGAGAAGAGAGAGATGGAATCTTATAAAGTACTTGTTTGAAACCAGAAAAGGCAGAAAAAGAGGGGAAGAAGAAAATACTTATAATAAATACTAAACAGTTACAGACATGGTGGATATTAATCCAACTATATAGAAAATTGCTAAATGTAAGTGGTCTAAATACATCCAGTTAAAAGCTAGATTGTCAGTGGATAAAATGAGATCCAATTATATGTTGCCTACCAAACACCCACTTTAAAAATAAAGATACTGTACCATGCTAACACTGATGAAAGAAGCAGGAGAAGCTATATTAATTTCAGACAAAGCAGACTTCAGAACAAGGAGATTTATGAGGGGTAAAGAGGGACAGTAGGTAATAACAAAAGGGTCAGTTCTCTAAGAAGACACAACAATCCTTAACAATGTGTACAGTCTTAACAACAGATTGTCACAATATGTGAAGGAAAAACTGGCCCAACTGTAAGGACAGTTAGATGAATCTACTGCTATTTTTGTAGACTTCAACTCCCCTCTATCAGAAATGGACAGATTTAGCAGGCAGAAAATCAGTAAGGGTAGAGTTGACCTAAACAGCACCATCAGTCAGTTGATCTAATTGACATTTATAGAATACTTCATCCAACAGAATACACACTCTTCTCAAGCACACGTGGAACATTGACCAAAATAAACCACATTCTGGACCATGAAATGCATCTTAACAAATGCAAACTAGAAATCCTACAAACTGTATTTTTAGATGATAATAGAATTAAACTAGAAATCGTTTACAGAAAGATAGTTAGAAAGGCCAAAATGCCAAAATGTTTGCAGAGTAAACAGCGTGCTACTAACAAATGGGTCAAGGAAGAAATCTCAGGAGGAAAAAGAAAAATTTTTTAACTAAATGAAAATTAAAACACAACCTGTCAAAGTTTGTGAGATACAAAAGAAACAGTACCTGGAAGGAAACTGATAGCACTGATATGCATCCATTTGAAAAGAAAGATTTAATATCTTTGAGGGACTCTGGCTTACTGACCTGATCGATGTCTCCCTGTTTCCAAAATATTGAGAAACTTGAGTTTCCCTTTAGGTAGCACAGTGACAGAAGAAGGAGCCCCACCCAACACACAAAGGCAAGGATGGGAAAACTTAGGAAGTTGAGCTGGACTTCAGCCATGGTGCAGTAAGTTTCCTCAGACAAAGAAGATGACCCAAATCATCAGAAGTGCATTGCAGCCTCAGGCATCTGGGCATTGAAAGTGCACATTCTAGACTAGAGTTCTAGACCCACATCACAGAGGTTTAGCATAAACACCAAAGGTTCTTGAGGGTGGGGGAGGGGACAGCACAAGAAAGATGAAACCACAGCCCTTCCCCCACCACCCAACCCAGCAGATCCATCCACCCCTCCAGGGCCCTTTAGATACTTCTGATCTACCTTCCAAACCATACATTCACATATCATATATTTACTTTAGTGAAAATTCCTATTTATTCCACCTGTTACCTAGATACTACCTGAGACCCTCTTATTGCCTAGTGGTCACCCTTTGGATCCCACATAATATATAAAACTCTGCTGTGCCAAGGGATTTACACCTCCAAGGTCTGCTCTGCCTTCAACTACAGCTTCCCCTCATACATAATGTGTCTTTACCTGCATGGAGCCAGAAATACACTGAGCACAAATATATGTCACCTGCTCCCCCCATATCTCCTCAAAAGAATTCACCAAAAAGCACAAGTGTGCAGAGTGGCCTATGTTAATAAACAAGAAGCATGACAAGAAGAGAAACAAGGGCATGGCATACTCATGACCCTATAGCAAACAACTTAGCAATCTTGGGTGATTCTTTTTTCCCAAAATCCCTCTGAAGCTATTCAGCACCTTAAGGTTCTGAAACCGAGCTGCCTCCGCCCATAGAGCGTCTCTTCCTGCCGCTCCCTCTTTCCTCTGACAAATCCGTTCTTCTCCTCACAACATTTAAAATTTTTATTTATTTTACAGAACCTGCAGGACCAAATATACTCTGATTTAAGGAGTGGGTTTCTCTTTAGCATGACTTCTAATGAACACAATTATATTTAGTGATACTTTTTGACTTTTTTGACTCACATCAATAGTTACTTCTTCCATGAAAATTTTTATGATTTTTTTCTCATCTACTTTCTTTTCACTAAAATTTCTATTGGCATCTCCATACCCTTGTAGACAATAACGTCACTTTTGTTGATGGTGTATATGTATTTATTTCATCTCCGTATGCTAGTTATTAGTCACTTACTAGTGGTACCCATTATAGCTTCCTTAGATTATAAACTGCTGAAATTAAGCTGTGTCATTTCCTTACTTTGCTGGCCTGCATTCCATCGTTGAGTCTGATGAATCGCTCTTGACCCCAGATACCTAATTCTTTCCCTCCCATCTAAGGAGGATTTGCCAGCAATGGCAGCTCCTTCTTTCACCCGTCTTCTCCTGCATCCACAGTGCCACCATTGTTTCTATCCAAAAGGAAGATGCACTTCAAGCCCACTCCATTGCACATACCTGCCTTCCTTGACCACAGGAGGTGTATTTGTTCAGAAAAATCCCTCCACATATCTTTGTATCTCTGGTGTCATTTTGGTGTTTTTTTTTTTCTTTTCCGAAGAGGAAGGCTGGTCCTGACTGTCCCTGAGGTCCCTAGGATTCCCAACTGTAAAAACATTCTCTAAAGTCTGAGCAAGATAAGCTCCACCAAAAAAAAAAGGGTGTAAAGATGACACATCAAATATATTCTTCAAAAAATGGCCTTGTCATGAAAAAGGAAGGCTAAAAAATACTAATCCAGATTAAGGGAGACTAAAGACACAAGACAACTAAATGCAATCTGTGATTTTACACTGAATCCTTTAATGAAGGTTTAAAAAAAAAATTACAAAGGACATTACTCAATAAATTGAAAAAAATGAAATATGAATAGATCAGTTAGAAGTTTTATGCCATTGTTAAATCATTGTTACATTTACTGAAGAGGATAAATAATTGTACTATATGTAAGAGAATCTTTTTTTCTTAAATAAACAATGAAATAGTCAATAAGAAGGTGGATAATACATAAAGTATATTCTCAAATATTAGAAATATATGCATATTTTTCATATAAGTGTATATGTGTATATTCATATATAAACAGAAAGGATAGGAAGGAAGGGAAAAAGACAAAAGCAGAGTCAAAGAGACAGAAAAAGGAGGGATCTCAAATGGGTCAAAATGTTAGTAGGTAAGTCTGGATAAAGGGTACATGGTTTTACCATTCATGCAACTTTTCCACAAGTTTAATTATTTTCAAATAAATACACTTAAATAACAGAACATTGCCTGCTATCCTGGATTTTACCTAACTGTTGAGATTTCTAGCTTTGATTCCTGCACCTACCACCACCATCATCTTCAGACCCCAGAAGTATACAATGCAAGCATAAAAGTTATCTCAGGCTCTGTCACCAGCAAGACATCTGGGATCCTCTGCACATTTCAACAGGATTTTACAAAATATTAAGAAGAGTACCACCCCCCACAAAAATTTTAATTATACCCAATGCAGAACAAAAAAAAAAGGTCAACATATTTACAGTATGGATCCGCTGATTTTTTTCTTATCTGGTGCCACCAGGTCATTCATCTTCCAGGGTTTTGTGGTGTGAATTGGTTTGCCAGCACTTTGCCTCTTCTGCTTGTCAGTTACCGTTCCTCTACCAGATTTCCATCTTCCAAAAATGTGTTGACATCTATTGTCAGATCCTCTCTCCTTCTTGTCATCCTCAAGCACTTCTTTGGAATTCTTTGCTTCTACAGTTTATTGAAACACAGTTCTCACACCATACAATTAGGGCTTCCCGGGTAGCTCAGCTGGTAATGAGTCCACCTCCAATGCAGGAAACCCCAATTCGATTCCTGAATCAGGAAGTTCTCCTGGATACGGGGTAGACTACCCACTCCAGTATGCTTGGGTTTCCCCAGTGGCTCAGATGGTATACAATCTGCCCACAATGCGGGAGACCTGGATTCGATCCCTGGGTTAGGAAGATTCCCTGGAGGGGAATGGCAACCCTCTCCAGTATTCTTGCCTGGAGAACCCCCATGGACAGAGGAGCTTGGCAGGGCTACAGTCCATGGGGTCACAAAGAGTTGGACATGACTGAGTGACTAAGCACACACTAGAGCACACCATAAAATTTGCTCATTGAAAATGTGTAATTCCATGATTTTTATTATACTCAGATATGTGCATTACTACAGTCAATTTTTAAAATATTTTCATGACTTTAAAAAGAACCTCATAACCTTTAGCCTTATAACCCCCTTCCCCCATCTTGCAGCTGTAAGCAACCACTAATCTACCTTCTGTTCTGTCTTGGTTTCCCTAATCTGGTTGTTTCATATGAATGGAGTCATATGTAGTCATTTTGTGACTGGCTTCTTTCATTAGCGTAATGTTTTCACAGTTCAGTCATGTTGAAACACATATCAGTTTGTGGCTTTTTATGCCAAAATAATATTAATTGCATAGATAGAACATATTTGATTTACCTATTCATCAGTTGACGGACATTTGGGTTATTTCTACCATTAATTCTTATGAATATGATTGCTATAGACATTTGTTTACAGGTTTTTTGTGGACATATATTTTCATTTCTTTTGAGTATATATTATACCTAGAAGTGGAATTGCTGGGTCATATGGTAACTCTGGGCTTCCCTGATGGCTCAGCTGGTAAAGAATCCACCTGCAATGTGGGAGACTTGGGTTTTATCCCTGGGTTAGGAAGATCTGTTGGAGAAGGAAAAGGCTACCCACTCCAGTATTCTGGCCTGGAGAATTCCATGGACTGTAGAGTCCATGGGGTCACAAAGAGTCTGACATAACTGAGCAATTTTCACTTTCACTTCCTTCATGGTAACTCTATGTTTAATATTCTGAGGCACTGCCAGACTGTTTTCCAAAATATTTGCACCAGTTTTCATTCCAAGAAGCAGTGTATCAGGGTTCAAGTTTTTTTGAATTCTCACCAACACTTGTTTGAATATGACTTTTTGATTCTAGCCATTCCTGTGTGTGTGAAATGTTATCTCATAGCAACTTTGGTTTTCATTTCCCTGATGGCTAGTGATGTTGAGCCTCTTTTCATCTACTCTTTTAATGCCGTTTGAGGGAAGAGGTATTATAATAATACGATCAAATATACTTTGATCTACTATGTTTAATCATAACACAGCTCATTTTAACTGTGTGACAAGAAAAATATTTTCTTGTATGTATTTGAAAGTGCATGAACAGTATGATAAGGCAAAAAGATATGACATGAAAGATTAACACCCCAGGTCAGTAGGTGCCCAATATGCTACTGGAGAAGAATGGAGAAATGACTCCAGAAAGAATGAAGAGATAGAGCCTAAGCAAAAACTCAGTTGTGGATGTGACTGGTGATAGAAGTAAAGTCCAATCCTGTAGAGAACAGTATTGCATGGGAACCTGGAGTGTTAGGTCCATGAGTCAAGGCAAACTGGAAGCAGTCAAACAGGAGATGGCAAGAGTGAACATCGACATTTTAGGAATCAGTGAACTAAAATGGACTGGAGTGGGTGAATTTAATTCAAATGACCATTATATCTACTACTGTGGGCAAGAATCCCTTAGGAGAAATGGAGTAGCCCTCATAGTCAACAAAAGAGTCCAAAATTCAGTACTTGGGTGCAGTCTGAAAAACAACAGAATGATCTCTGTTCGTTTCCAAGGCAAACCATTCAGTATCACATTAACCCAAGTCTATGCCCCAACCACTAATGCTGAAGAAGCTGAAGTTGAACGGTTCTATGAATACCTACAAGACCTAGAACTAACACTAAAAAAAAGATGTCCTTTTCATAATAGGGGACTGGAATGCAAAAGTAGGAAGTCAAGAAACACCTGGAATAACAGGCAAGTATGGCCTTGGAATACAAAATGAAGCAGGGCAAAGGCTAACAAAATTTTGCCAAGAGAATACACTGGTTGGTCATAGCAAACACCCTCTTCCAACAACACAAGAGAAGACTCTACACATGGCCATCACCAGATGGTCAGTACCAAAATCAGATTGATTATATTCTATGCAACTGAAGGTGGAGAAGCTCTATACAGTCAGCAAAAAC